TTTTTTTTTTTTTTTTGGTTTTTGTCTGTGATTGTATATGAATCTTAGGTTTTTATTGAATCAATTAATCTTAGTGGTTGTTGCTGATAAAATAGGTGGGAAGAATGGCCGGGCAGTTTGCAAAACCAAGGTCGGATGGATTTGAGGAGAAGAATGGTGTGAAGTTGCCGAGTTACAGGGGAGACAACATAAATGGTGATGCATTTAATGAAAAGTCGAGGGTTCCGGATCCGCAGAGGATGATCAGAGCCTACTGCCAATCTGCTGCCACTCTGAATCTTTTGAGGGCTTTTGCCACTGGAGGATATGCCGCGATGCAGAGGGTTACTCAGTGGAACCTGGATTTCACCGAGTCCAGCGAGCAGGGTGATAGGTTTGTTCAACACTGTCTTTTAGTGACCACTATTTTAAATTTGACTGTGAGCTTATTTTGTGTTTTCGGCAACTACTGATTTTAAAGTTACTTTCTTGAACTTATTGACATCTTTGTCCTTTACAAATTGATGGTTTATATTTAGCTATTAATGAAACACGTGGGAATCTGTTGGCAAGCATTTTTTCACTAATTTTTGCTGACAATATTTCCTTCGTTGGGAAATATGCATTATTTGATATTTAGATTTTTATGAAATACTTCAGAATTTAACTTGGACAAGTTTGATGTTGTATTTCATATGCTAGCTGGTTTACATACATATTTCTTGTTAGATGGTTATGGAATTGTGTTGGTTGTTGAATGGCAGGTACCGTGAACTAGGACACCGAGTTGATGAAGCCCTGGGATTTATGCAAGCTGCTGGACTTACAATGGACCATCCTGTCATGAAGACCACTGAGTTTTGGACATCACATGAGTGCTTGCTCTTACCTTACGAGCAATCACTTACTAGGCTTGATTCTACATCTGGCCGATACTATGACTGTTCTGCCCATTTCCTTTGGGTAGGGGAAAGAACGAGGCAATTGGATGGAGCCCATGTTGAGTTCCTGAGAGGAATTGCAAACCCCCTTGGTATTAAGGTGATGATGCAAAGACGGTTTCGATCAATAGATGTCTGAAACTGTGGTTTTTATATGTTGTAATGGGAGTTGCTTATATGGAATCTTTGTTTTTACAGGTGAGTGATAAAATGGATCCAAATGAACTTGTCAGACTCATTGAGATTTTCAATCCTGAAAACAAACCAGGAAGGATTACAATCATCACAAGGATGGGAGCAGAGAATATGAGGGTGAAACTTCCTCATTTAATCAGGGCAGTCCGAAGGGCAGGGCAAATTGTTACTTGGGTCTCTGATCCTATGCATGGAAACACTATTAAAGCTCCTTGTGGTTTAAAAACACGCCCATTTGATGCAATCAGGGTAACTTCCTTGATCATTCTTCATGATCACATAGCATCATTCATTATAGTCTTTGTTGTGGTACTTAAAAGGAAAACTGGACATCCAAAAATACAAAATGGTTGCATATCCAAAAAACAATTCAATAGCTATACGATTTCACCGGCTTAAATTTATGCATGGGAAGTAAAAGATAACATCTTTTGAAGTTGATTCTGAATGTCTATAAATTTTACATTTATTAGCAGCCTTTTCTGGTGGGATTTGACCTTTACTACTTAATATCGCTGCACTTTTTTGACTCTGCTGGTGACGCTATTTAAAATTATTTTGCCTAATAAGACATCATACGAAATAACATCGCTGTTTGATCTTGGCTTATTTGAGCACCTAGATTTCTAGTTATACCATGATAAATAGAAAAGGATGTGTTCTAAGCCCCTGTTCGGTTTGGATTAAAATCTGATTTTAA